TGCTCTGCTGTGTTGTCCCTCCAACAGACACTGTGGTCTTTGAAGTCCCCTGTGCAGACTGGGGTTTGTGAACCTGAGGCCACTCCTATCTGTGTACAGAGGGCCTCATCCTCTCAGTCTTCCTGGCCAGGTGGCCTGTAGTAAACCCCCACTATAATGTCACCTGTCCCTGCCTTCCCTTTAATCCTGACCCCTCAGCTCTTGGTCTGTTCCTCATCCATCCCCAGGCAGAGTTCCAGGAGTCCAGCTGGTTAAAGAAGGCACTCTCCTTGCCTCCTCTGCCTGTCCTTCCTAAAGAGCCTGTATCCTTCCATTCCAGCATTCCAGTCATAGTAGCTATCCCACCATTCTCCAGGATGCCAGTAAGATCACAGCCCTGCAGGTTTGTCTGTAACTCCTCTTGTTTATTTCCCATAGTACATGCTGTTTGCACAGAGGCATTGAAATTTTGTCCCGAATGAAGCTGATTTAGTGGCTGGAGTGGCTGGAATTCCTTTGTGGTGCTCCTCAGGTGCTTTCCTGTTGACCTGTGGTCTTTCTCCAGGCTCTGGGCATCTCTTGCTGGTGCTGGTGTCAAACTTTAGGAATGAGATGGATTGAGGGTCCCTTCCCTGGCAGCTTCAGCTTAAAGCCCTCTTCACCAGCCTGGATAACCTATGCTAAAGGATGCTGTTCCCCTTGTCTGACAGATGGGCCCCATTGCCTCCCAGCAGACCAGGCTTCTCAAAGCAAGTCCTGTGGTCCAAACATCTGTATCCCTGGTGGTGGCACCAGTCCTGTGACCATTTGTGGATTCATGAGATTTGACTGGCCCTTTCCAGCCCCTTCTCTTTGGAGTGCAGGAAGCTCTTTCATCAATCCTCCCAGTCAGAGTCCCTTATCACTGCTCCCAGGGCTCTGTAATTCTTCTTGGTACTCCTCAGACTGGTTCTGGTTGCACCACTGGCTGTCCCAAGTGAAACAAGAGCAGTGGGTGATGTCAGTGGGCTGCAGGAGGCTTGGTGGTCTCTTGGTGATGTCCCTGATACAAGAGCCTGGTATGGAGCACACCTTTCTCGAGAGCCTGTCAGGCTGGCAGATGGAGCCTCCACACATCTCAGGGCAGAGTCACCTACTGCTGTCACCTGTCACCTTCTCTTGGTTCATGGGTTGTTACACAGAGAGCAAACTGGGCTGCCTTGCTCAGCTCTCACGTCCCACAGACCGAGGCTCACACTGCTGCTCTCTGTGGAAGTGGCTTGGGGGGAGGATTGGCCACTGCTGGGGTGTAGATAGTGCAGACTCCCCATCTGGAGCTGAAGCCTTTGCTCTCAGATGAGCACTCACCATTCTGCCTTGAGGGTCAGAAGAGATAAGTGCCCTTGGCCTGTGCAGATGTTCACAAATCAGTGCCTGGTCACTGGCTTAAGGGGACTCCAAGTCTCTCCACCACCAGCTCTGAAGGATTGGCTGCAGAGCAGGTGTTACCCATGAGGATGGACTCTCACCTGCTGCAAAGCTTCGTGTTCTTCTTGAACACAGAACCCCTAAGCAGAGCATGGGTGGAGGAGGCACTGCCCCCCAGACACCCAGGCTGGGCAGCCAGGCAGTGCTGCCCTGAGGATGAGCAGGGGAAGGGAGGTCTGAACTCGTTAGTGACGTGGGGATGCAGGAGATGGGGCTCAGCCCACACACCCTGCACAGCTGGCAGCAGAGCATGATGTCTCCTCAGACTTGTGTCTTCACTTGCGTGATGGGAATGTCTGCCCAACTTCAGTGAAATGTTTGGTGCTAAATTAATTAATAGCACAGAGGGTGCTGGTGGAGGTATGTGGAGCAGTAAATGCTCTGAGCTCACTGCTGCTCAGCTTTGGCCAAGTTGCTGTATCCATCATTTTTGTAAAAACTGAGCTGGACTGATCTGGTCCTGTAATTTTCTTTCTGTTTTCATTAGGCTTATCGGTTCTCTAGAGGGAAGGTGTGGGCCATGATTACTCTTCTGTGCCTCATCGCTGCAATTCTCTCTGCATTTCTGGACAATGTGACCACTATGCTGCTCTTTACTCCAGTAACCATAAGGTATTTTATTGTTATGGTTTTGGACTTGGTCTTTTATAGCCAGCATTCAGCAATAGACATGTGTGCAAAATGTCTGTTTGGACTTTTTGTGATCATCTAAATAGAAATCAAAGCTTCAAATACTCTGATTGTAGTAGAATAAACAGCTAGTGCTTTCAAAGGGCTGAGTTGCCTTTTCCCTCTGCGTTGATGTTGAGCACATATCTGAAAGCTGTTACACTGCCGTGGCAGCTAACTCTTCTGGTTTGTCTCCATATCTGAACTGCAATTGCATTTTAAACCAAATGCTCTTGAAATTTTGTTTCCTGTAAGCAGGGAGAATTTTTGAACTAAAGCTGCCTTATCCTTTGCTGGCTAATATCTGCACACAATTTTAGATAATAGTTTACATTTTAGTGAAGTTGTTATCCCTTCTAATACTCGTGACAAATAAATTAAAAAGCAAAGTCTAGGTTTCAGCTGGCAGCTTTGTTTTGGGCTATGAGACTCTGGATTTTCTTCCTGCTGGTGATCATGTCATTCCTGTTGCCACTGGTTAATTCCACAATTTGAGATTAGATATTTGGAACTCTGAATAGAGAATAGTGAATTCAATTACTTCAGATTTTTGTAAATTAGTAACACGTGATTCGCAACTTCATTTAATCAATGTGGGATTATAAATTACTGTATAACCTGAATTTAACCTGTGTCTGGTAGGGCAAATCTGTTTAATTCAGTTCAGTTTTGAGAAGATCCTGAATGATGTCATGTTTGCAGTCATTATCACATTAAAGTACACAAAATTCTATTAAGATATGCCCCCACTTTAAAATGCAGTGTAAAGCAGTAAAAAACAATTTTGCAAGTGGAATTTATTCTAGGTTGGGAAACAGCTGGTGAATGAAAGCTGCATTTGTCTTCTGTCCAATTATATTTTGCTGTGCCCCAATCAATAATTGCACCTCTAGCAGGAAGCAGCAGTGGAACTGTTGAACACCAAGTTTCCTTTAGCTGCGTTGCAGAATATTTTGAATAAACTATAATTGGGAATGCATTGAAATCCAGACATCAATGTAGCAGGAAAAGCTTTTCCCAGTCAGAGCTACTGTAGCTTTTATTCTCTTTCCAAAGAATCACAGAGTAGCCCAGGCTGGTGGGACCTTGAAAGACCATCTGGTCCAACCTTTCATGGGAAAGGAAGCCTAGATGAGATTAACTGGCACTCTGGTCACATCTTGAAAACCCCCAGTGAAGTGAGAACCTCTATAGCCACCCTTTAAGTAATGGACTTTTATACTAAATGTATCCTGATTACTTTAGTTTTATAGTAAATGAGTTTGTAACACAGAAGAAGGGGAAACTCAGTAGGTGGGAAACATTGGTATTTGAATCACTATCAAAGCTAAAATAAAATGTTATCTCACCTACTAAAACCAAATTATTGCCTAGTTCAAAGAGCTTCATGCTGAGGGTCATGTTTTGTTTTTATCTTGCTGCCATTGTCTGCAGCTTCACCATGTTGCACTGTGCAGTCATTGCCATGGAGATAAAGCTCAGGAAATCCTACTGACTCGAGGAATAGAAGGCTTTGTATTTCCTTTAGCAAGGCATAAACCAGGAGACTTGTTTCACTCTGCATTTTGTAGTAAGCTGCTAAAAAAAAGTAATAACTGCCCCTTTTTAGCTGTAGTTTATTTTCAAGTTGCTTTGTTATTGGGAACTTGGAACAGGCTAATGGTTGTGCACACAAGGAGTTGTATCAGCAGGGTATGTAAACTGGAGCAGTGACCCTGCCATAGAGCTAACACATTCTGAGGGGTTTATACTTTGGGCTTAGCCTTCCCTAACTTACATCACGGTTCTCTTTTCAAGATATCCCTAAGCCCATCAAAAAGAAAGAAGCCCTAAAGAAAAGTTAAGGTCCTATTTTGAAATATTCGGAAATCAAGGAGCAGAGGAGATAAAATTACAGCTACAATTGTGGTCTGGTACCACAATTTATACATTTGGGCCAGTGGTACTACAAACCTTAACTGAATGATTTCATGCTGCAGGGGAAATAGTGTATTTTTGCAGAGGGTTTTTTTCTGGAGTTTTTATGTACTGATATATGTGTCTTCTGACAGTGTTTTTCTGTGCTTAGAATTGACCCTCTTGGTGATAGTGCAAGTGAATCAAGTAAAGCTTTTGTGCAATACTCTGTTTTCTCTTTGAAATGTGGGTTTCAATAAGACAGACTCAGAGGGAGCAGTGAAGCTCCACTCTTCCTCCAGGGAAACGTGTGACAGCTCTGCCCTGAGACAAATACTGAGAAAGGGTTTTTGCTGCCCACTCTTCCCCCATCCCTATTAGGCAGGAGAGGCAATAATTGAAGAGTGACTTCCATCTTCACATCCCGAGCAATGTTTTCATCAGTCACCAGAAGGAAAGCAGCTGCTCCTGATTCCAACGTGCTGAGGTGTGACTGTAACCTTCAGCCTTTATTACCACAGCCCAAGCTTAGAGTCCAACTGGGAGCTCAGAAATGAGTGGATCGTACTGGTGTGTGCGTAAAAGTCATTTGTGCCCGTTGGCGTCGTCGGGGTGAGGATTCCTGTGCCTAAGTGGCTCTGGATTGAAAGGGATCATGAGGTTACTGAGCCAACAGCACTAGGATTTGCCTGAGCATTTCAAGGTGCTTCTTATTAAACAAGTATTTTACTTTTTCCTATCAAAGCAGCATCTTCCTGAAGAACCATTAAACATTTTTGGACTGCTAGAAACATTCTGAGGGTTTTTTTCTTCATAATGAAGAACGTGCATTTTCTACTCTTGTTCCCTTAGAAATAGAAATACTCATGATCAAGCTTTAGAGAAGGAGAAAAATAGGGACAGAATAAAGCAGATCAACCTGGGCTGAAAGCTGAAGACTCTAAGAGAGGATTCATGGCTAACAGGCAGAGTGCACAATCCTCCACCAATGCTTCCCCCCAGAAAGCTGATCACTGTTGCTGGGTGCAGAGCCTGTGCTGGCCCAGAATGGTTTGCCATAGGTCAGTGCAGCTTGGGGACCATGGCTTCCAAAGTCGTGTGATGCTCAAAATTTAGGATGATATTTTCTGTGGAGTCTAACTCTTGTAGTAGCTGATTACTTTTAATGAAATCCTTTTTAAAAGCCTCAGTTTTTGTAGCTGTTAATGATTGCATTATAAATGTAAAAAAAAAAAAATCTGTATTTTTTTATTTATATTGCTATAATTACTGGTCCCCATACCCTGTCCAGAATAAAATCTTTAACAATGCACACACACAAAAATATGATGTTTAGAATCCTGCCATTTTTTTTCTGTGATTTTATTTCATTTTTTTTCCTGTGAAATGACTGAATTTTGTAATTTGTGCACATTTTAGGATTTAAGGCAATTTATGCATAGGGTAAGAGGTTAATTTCATTATCTTTACACCACAGGCTCTGCGAAGTACTCAATCTTGATCCTAGGCACGTCCTGATTGCAGAAGTCATCTTCACAAATATTGGGGGAGCTGCCACTGCTGTTGGGGATCCTCCAAATGTGATCATTGTTTCAAAGCAGGAGTTGAGAAAGAAGGTAAGTACTGCAGCCTCTTAGGCTACTAAAATTAAGTAGTGGTGTTGACTTATGCAGTGTGGAACCTAAATAGTGATGAAGAATAGACTTTTAGATATGGACTGAGAATATCAGTTCCCTTTTTTTTGTTGTTGGTCCTTATCAATGGCAAAGTGAAGGAAGAAGCAAAAAAATGGAGAGCTGCAAGTTGGAAAGAAAGGGAAAATGTTAAAATAAAAATCCATCTTTTTTTTTTCAGAATAGACTTTCTCTCAAAAGTTGAGTATAATGAAACAATTTGATTCCTTGATAGCCATTTTAAGCCAGAAAGAATTGTCCCTATGCAAACCCCACAATGTGAGGACCTGCACTGCTCCTAGAGCCACGTCCCACACGATTCCACTGCAGCACACTCTGTCCCTCAGTCCAGGGGCTGAGGGGTGGGAGAAGGGTGATGCTCCTGCCATCAGCATGGACCACAGCTGGCCCTGACCTCCTGCCAGCCTTTTGGCATCTCCAGCAGGACTGGTCTGCTCACGATGCAAGAGGAGTTTGTTTTTTTAATTTGGAGTCAATTATGTTCCTATTGCTCTATGAAAGAAAGGTATCTTGTAATTAACTGAATGCACTCGAATGAATTAAGGACTGTCCAGGTTGGAAAATGCCTTTAAAAGTTCATAATGTTTAACAAACTGAATGTTTACCATGAAGATATTTAAAATGTGCTGCAATTAGCTGGTTTGGATTGTGACTTTGAAGACTATAGTACTCCTGGCTGAGGATTTGATAGCTATATTTTACATTTCAAATATGAAATCTCTGCAACTGTGTAAAATTTTCCATCTAAAAGACAATAATTAGCACCCACCATGCAGGTCATTTTGCTAAATACTCAGAACTCATCATCTCTGTGGAACCTTTAGAACATGGGAAGTAATTAAGCAATTGCATTAAAAAGAAATGATTTTCCATTTCACTTGAATGAGACATTGGTATTTTTAGGAGGGCACAGATGTATAAATACCCTAGCAAATGTGATATTATAACAAATTCCATATTTCAAACAAGCACAAAAACTTTCCAGATGTTTTCACTCTGGATTATTTTCAGATCTTTTGTTGCATCACAGCACTAAGCACATAATAAAATAGGTCAGGTTCAACACAGGACCATAGGATTTGTGCTGCTTCTTTTCTGTATTCCCAGTTGTTTTATCTGTGGATATAAACAAGAGAGGGTCAAAGACCCACCCTCAGCTCTGGGGCTGAGTGCATGTGCTGGCTCAGGCCCTCCCTGCTGGGGCTCAGCCCTCGGGAGGGAGATTTGCCTGGGACAGTGTTGGCAGGAGCAACTGGATGGAGCCAAGAGAGAGGGACAGGGAGGGAACTGCCCCACATCACCTCTCACAGCCTGAGCTGTGCAGCTCAGAGCTCAACTCCAGCCTTGTCCACCTGCTCCAGCATGTTCTCTTTTATCAGAACTACAAACACAGACATTGTTGTATTTTTCTGAGACTGCTCCTAGCAAAGGCTGCGGGGAGGAAGGGTTATACAAGCAACCAAAAATCTGTCTCTAAAATGCATGGGAGGTCTGATTTATTGGTACCAAGTAAACTCCTCCATGCAGTATTTTGTTCTAGTGTCTATTATTTTGTTCTCTACACCAAATACCTGTTTTTCACCTCTTTTAGCATTATGGTCAAGTGTTTGTCAGTCTAGGAAATTTTTCCTCTTAATATGATCATTGTAATTCTCCTTTTCATCCTCTTGCACTTTTTTTTCAGTGTTATTTTTGCACAGCAAGTGCAGCAGGACTCGGACAACTGCCCCAGCAGGAGGCTGAATAGCCAATTGCACTGTGGGGCTGATTGGGTTTCTACTTTATTAGGTGCTACCAGAAGGAGAATTTTACCAGTCTCCATGAAATTTTACTGCTGTGCAGCAACCTCTAAAAGCAGCCTAGTAAAATTTTATGCAAGTTTACACTTCCTTAGGAAAGCTTGGCTTTTAAATCAATAGAAAATGCAGTGCAGCCTTGTTACTTTGGGTGCTCTTATTGGGTTCTAATGCTAGAAATGCTTTACTCTTTGTTTACTGTAGTGCTGGGGAGATTTTTCTCCCTAGTTTCTGGGGAAAACTCACATCGTATTAAAAATATTTTATTTGAAGTAGGTTTGAATCAACAAGATTTTTGTAACATTTTGCTCATTAAAATGTAGGAATAAGTCTCTTTATTTGTCTTAAGACGAAAATTAATGTCCGAAGGATTTTTTGCTTTGTAGCTGTGGTTAATTTATAATACTCACATATTTCCTACTGTCATGCCTGGATCAGTGGAACATTTGCATAATAGGACAAGAAGATTTGTTGTACTTCTGCTTGCTCTTATTTGGAGCTGGATGAAATTTCACAAAATAACATTTACATTGTGATTTTAGGGAAGGAAAATAAGAGCTTTCATTCAGGGCAATGGAAAAGATTTTCAGTGAATAGAAAACATTTTTTTTAAAGTTTTATCACTTTCAGAGTGCTGCTACTGAGTGGTCATTGTTAACAAAATTATATTTTTATCTTGAAGAGATATGTGCTTCAGACTGTGGGAACTCCATTTTGTAGGTACAATAGAGCACGAAGCCAATGGATATGGTCACTGTTTCAGAAAGGTTGAAGATGAAATCCTCTGCATTTGGGAAATTCACAAGTATCTGCAGTCACCCCATTGAAATCAGGAGCTGCCTGTGCTCTAAGCACAGGCTGTGGTTACCAGTTCTTTCAGAATGGGTGAACAGGTCTCCAGAGCAAAGTGATGCTCTGAACACAGTTACAGTGAACCTCTGCTCTACCATATGTAGCCTTAAATCTGCCTGAGAGAGGTAATGACAAGGGCAAAAGCAGTTTTAGCAGTGCTAGCTACTGGATTATAGACTTTTATTTACTCTTTTTTTGTTAGCCTGTGAGAAAGCTCGTGCTGCTGATCTGGTGTTTGCTGACAATTTGGGGGTTTCACCATCCCACTCAGAGTTACTTCTGCCATGTAGCAGGAATTCTCTGGAAAGCAGACAGACAGAAGG